TTTGTCTTCTATGTTCTACGAAAGGAGAATTCGGTGCCCGAAAACAATTTCTGTCTTTTGCGTTCATCTTCGGACATTTTTGGAGTAACGATTGGAAGTTTAGGAACAGCTTGCCAATTTCGAAAAGACTGAGATGTGGATCGGCTTAAGGTGGCAATAACCACTCAAATGTGGGGGGTTGAAAACAGCTCGAAAACGTTGCCGCGGACAAGGGGCCTCCACAGTACTCACATAGAAGGCCTGGCTGCTTTCGAGCTCCAGATGACGTACGTCCGTCCCCCCTCCTCCGGCCGTCTCGCTAATGCTGGTAACGAGTTCTGGCGCATGCTCAACAAGAAGCTTTCGGTGCGTTCTCTAAGAAACGAGAGCTCGTAGACAGCTGGCCAGGATGGACGGTTGGGCATCTGTAGGTGAAAGGTGCTTGATCATAGGATGATGAAAAAAGATCTTACTGGAACAATAATGCGTCGGTGCCCTCCGTACATAAGTTCGCCTTTCTCAAACTGACCAGACAAAGTGACCTCACTTCCCAAAGCTTGAAGTTGGTTTGTGAGGAGAGAAAGAACAGCCGGAGAAGAGGAATTTCATGGAAAAAGTCGGTGCAATGCGGTTTCGGTCCCACGAAGTTGTGGCATCAGTCAGCGTTTAACATGCAGCCCAGAAGAGCAGGTGCCCTTATCTCTTTGTTTTTGGGTTTTTTCCATCTTGGTTGGTGGCTGTTGGCTGCAGGCAGGTTCGTCATTTTGCAACCGACTCTATTTTTGCATCCGCAAATGTGCTTTATTGGTGTCGGATGCGCTAACATTGGCTAACATTGGGTTAATTTTGAAATCTTCATAAATGTTTTTGGTTTTTGAACTTGTAAATGCAAATTGTTTCGATTTCCTTTTTGCTGCAACAAAGCAATGCTCCGTTTTTTAGCGCGGAATCAGCTGTGCCTGGTCACGGTCAATCTTGACAATTTGATTCTGGTGGTTATGATTTTGTTGAGGACGATGATGACAATGATGACTGATGATGATGAGCATGGTGATTCGAGGTGTAACACATTTTGCCTTCAGCAAGTTGTCCTGGATGTGGGGTGGCATCTTGAACACTTTACTAGCATTATTGTTTCCCACCATACACACCATGTTGCATGTCACACTCGAAAAACGTCGGACACCTTCTCTTTTCGTTTTCCCTGGACAAACACGTCCACTTTTACATTCTGTCAGCTTTGCCATCCTAGTCGAGTGGTAACTTGAATTGGCCGGCGCAGTTTACGCTTTTCAGCTGCTTCTTTGTGTTTGCCATCATGTTTTTCTTCTCAAAGTCGTTTCACGCAAAAACGCGCGCGTGCACAATGGAATCTTGTCGTGTTTTGCCGCACTGACAGCGCGTCCCAATGAAAATTTGCCTCGACATGCAGTCGTACTGGCTCTGCTTCGACGGTTCAAAGCGACAGTTTACAGGCTTGGAGTTGTCATGGTCGGACATCCAGCAATCAGTATCTACGTTGGGGTAAAAATGCCATTGCCATGTTTCCCGCACACCTGAGGCATACCTAAACGTTGAGTTCTCTGCAGCAGATCATGTCGACGGCAGGCTTTCGTTGTAGAAGCTGTTTCACGACAAGCTTAGTCCACACTGGCGCCGAGCCCATGGAGGTGGGCAGTGCCATGCAGTGGATTGCCGCAAGAGATAAAAGCCAGCAGTCAAACTGTGCAAAGTTCATTTGACTGTTGTCGTGTCTGAACTGCTTGCAAGAAACAGCTGCGTGCACAACAGCTAGTTCAACTTCCTTCTTGGCTGGATCTTTCTCGCCCAGGGCATGGAGTTCATGGCCGCTGCACCGGCAGTATCTTCGAATGCAGCTCATGGGTATGCGCAGTTGCAAATCGGAATCCACACGAAGGCAAACCATTTGAGAGAATCTGCCTTCTTCAAATCCGTTGATGTGCTCCCAGTCTGTGTGATCTGCATCCGAGGCCCCTTCTGCACCTTCCATGCCTTCGGTACCAAGCGGAGCAGCAAGGATGAGGGCAACAACCTCAGCAGGCCCTGTGTGCCTTTCCTATCCGCGCAGTGCTGCAAAAAAGCCTGAAGTAGAACTGGCATTCATGACAAGACAAGAACAACACAGCTCCGGAGCCAGGTGCCAGGAAGATGGAACCTGCAACAAGATGTTTTCGTGTTTTCCTGCAGGCCATTCGTGGCTCCCTGCCCCGGTGTTCGCGCTGCCGGCCGGGGCCCGGCAAGGGGTCTCGATTTGCCGGACTTGTGGAGTTTCCCTCGAGCATCAGGTTTTGGCGTGCCGTGGCTGGTGCCGGGCAAAAAGCGGGAGCCGGGTGCAGCGCACGCGCAACAGCCTTGGAGAGAATGGAAAGAGTCGACATCTTGCTTGCGAATTTCAGCCTAGCCATTGGTTCTAAAGTTATTATACACCTTCATGGAAGCTCAGGTTGCGCTCTGCAGGCGAGCTTGGTGATGCGATGGCTGTTGTTCCTGCCAGTCTATATTTTCTAAGCGGGCATGGCATGGTCCAATAGCAGCCGGTGGCAAGACTGCTCCCCCTGTGAAGGCGGCAGCTGTGGAGGTGGAGACGGCTCTCGAGGCTCTAGCTTCGTGGCCGTTGAGGTTAGGAGAAGTCCTTCATTCTTGTTCAATTTTACCCCGGTTGACCAATTGTGCATGTGCGAGTCAAGATGGACGCGACAGGTCTCTCCGGGCAAGGCCGGGGTGGTTGCTGCAAGTACATCTCTTTGTACACATGTTTCGATCTTCCAGTCTGTCTCTCTTTTGCCCATCCAGCTATGCATCTACCAATGTGCCTTTCTGCTTAGCTTGTCCGTCAATCTTTCGTGGTCTGTCTGTCTGTCTGCGGTCTGTTGGTCCGTCGGTCGGTCGGTCGGCCATAGTCGGATAATGGTTTCCCTTCACAAACACGGGCCGAAAAACACACATCTCTTTTTATCAAACTTTAAAAGCAATGCTCT